CGATGGCAATTAGCCCCATCTACGCAGACGACTTAGCCGGCCATGGACTTTGAGACAACGACGGTAGAACAACCACTGGCAAAAAAAAAAAAAAAAAAAAAAAAAAAAAAAAAAAAAAAAAAAAAAAAAAAAAAAAAAAAAAAAAAAAAAAAAAAAAAAAAAAAAAAAAAAAACAACAACAACAAAAAAAAAAAAAAAAAAAAAAAAAACTCAGCATTCCCCCCAGGAGACCGCCGGCTGAGCCGCCGATCCACGAAAGCGCTCGCCACTCACGTCCCCGGGTGTTGGCGCGATATGTGCAGCGAGACACAAAACGACACTTCTTCATCTCATGCCAGCGCCAACAACACGCTCTGCCTTTCCCGCTGCCCGAGACGCTCCCCCGCGCCTCCTTTCCGGCGGCAACTCCGGCCGCCTGCGTCGGATCCACGGGCGGCACTCGCCATCGCATTGGCCGCAGCGGGACTGGCTTGCGTTTCTGGCCACGCCCGCACCCCAGGCTTCTCCCCGCTTTCGCCAACGATCCCCCCCCCCCATTGATCTCCGCTCAGCCGCTCAGCCCCTCCGCGTCAGTCAACCCCCGACGCCACCGATAACAAGAGGGGCCACGCTGAGGCCCGTCGCAATTTACCCGAGCGCGAGCACAACATAAGACCTTGGATTGCCCCTCACGCGAGGGGTCCTGAAACGGCCCGGACCACCTGGGATCGGGCGGCCCAAGCGGCAAGCATCGACTCCGCCCTTTCCTTTCGCCCTTCCTCTGGCAACGACCCCTCGATCAAATGTGTTCTGCCACTGGGCAAGCAACCAATCAAAAGCGCGAATCCCAGCTCCAATCTCGCATTGGCACATTCCTCATTTGCTCGTTGAAATGCCCATGCATGGTAGTAGCTATCCGAAGAGCGGGCGATTTACCACCATGCATTTACCGATATACAGCCATCCTTTCGCTGTAAAAACTGAACAGATCTCGGTCTGGCCGGTCTGTTTTACCAAAAAACGCGCTCCGAGCGCATAGAAACCCAAACGCACACTGCACGAATCATGTCTCGACCCGTCGACAATCGAATTTCGACCTGGGCGCCTTGCTCCACCCAGTTCGCCCAAGCAACCAAATTGACTTGCTGCACGGGCAGGCCCCTCCCCCCCTCCCCTGGCGCACCCCATCATGTCATGCCGCCAGAAACTTCCTTAACCTTCAGCTTCGAAACATGAACATCGGGACCCGCGGCCCCCACGACGCAGGGCGGGGGACCAGCGACGCCAGGTGGTGCTGAAGAAATCACACGCACGACACGTAGCTTCCACGTTCTCGGTTCGCTGGGACCTTGGACGGGCCCACAATTCCACTTCTCGCGCTCGACCTGCCTGTCGCCAATGAGCAAGGGCCAGGAGGAGGCGGAAGGGCGCCTCCCCCGTCGCCGCCTCCGCCGGGCGGGCCATCGCCCGAACCAGAAACAGAACCGCCGCTGTCTTCGCCCCCATTACCCCCATCATCCGAGCCGCCCCCACCTCCTCCCCCATCACCCCAGGTCGAGCTGGACACGAAGGGAAGTCGGCCAATGTCTTCGCAACTTACGTTTCTGCCATTATTCCCCGCGTTTCTTCCCTACCTCGGCCTCATCATCGGCCTTTCTCTGAGAGCAAAGCGCGCATCGCTCGGCGCCGACGCCTACGCGGTCGCCGCGGCACGGCACGCCACATTGAACACAACTCTCCCGCAGTGGCAACAAACGAGAACTACACATCTCAAATGGAACGCCGCCCTCCCCCCCGCCCCCCGACGCGCGCAATGCACGCGGGTGCCCGCGGCGCTCCGAGCTCGCCACTCCTGGGACGACGCCAAAGGCCCCAACAGGGCGCCCCGCAAATTCTTGGGCGGCAGGAGAAAGATCTCCGACACCACCAGCTGAACCAGAGACGCGGACGGCATCTCTTGCTGCCCAATTCGCTCCGGGGCGAGTGGGGAAGTTCAAGCTTGTTTTGCGCGCTATCGTGTCTGATCATATGATCCCCTCAGCTCCCTCGCTTCATCGACAGCGGCTTGCCCCCTGAGCGACGCCCGCTGGATCGCCGCGTTCGCCCGCCCCCTGTTTTGCTGCACAAAGTCTGCAGCCTGAGCCGCCCATTCACGAAGGACTGCCACCGCCTTCTGCGCGGTCATCGACGCAGCATCTCGGGCCTGTTCTAATCCACGCTGCATCTGTCGTTCTCTTTCAGCAATGTGTCCCACCATTGTCTCCTCTTCCCCCGAGATGGCCCATCGAGCTGCCCCCTCAGCCTTTTTTCATGTCATGCCCAACTTCCTGCAGAGACAGCTTAGCCGCCTCTGGGGTCACGTGCTGGTTCATTCTGAACTATCAACATCAGTCGTTCTTTGTCTCGTTGAATATGTTGAAGCTGTTCGTTGTTTCCCCATCGAAAGTTCCATCTTAACCTTCATCCGAGCAACCATCCGTTCGCTGAGGAGCCTTTCCCTCGCGACTGCCATGTGTCATCCCTTATGCTGCCATGCAACAATCGTTATAAATAGACCATCCATTATGCCCCTACATGTCAATGCAACCCGCGCAGAGCCAGCTGACACCAAAAAGCTTACAGGTAACGGAACCCGCTCCGCACACTGGCCTGCGACTAAGACCGTTTCCCTTTTCCCGCTTTCCCCCGGGGACCGATTCTCCGCCGCCGCTGGGCAGATGGGCCCCCGGGCCTAGCAAACCACCAAAATAGAAAGCCTGCTAGCTAAGGACTGCCTGGAAGGGCTACTGGAACCGCGGCTACTCCTCGACCCAGCGCGGCCTATCATAGGCAAGCCGGGCTTCGTGCGTCTCACGGGAATCGGGAACCTCGGAGGAGAGGGCACCACATTCATGTCTGTTCTCCCCAGATTCCATATCTGGACAAGGTGGACTCCTCATCTGCCCCTTCGAGTTCGAAGATCATTGGATAATGAGACACCGCTGCATGACTCCCGGCCGAGCTGGAAATCTGAATTGGCGAACCATCGACCTCCACACTACTTTCGGACCGCCCTTTCAACGTTTTTGCAAACGGCGCAAACCCGAATGTTCTATCAACTCAGGCTCTCGTAGGCTCAACGAGTCAACTGGGGATTGAAAGATTTCTATGAACTCCGTTCCTTGAGTCAACTGGTGTCGAAATATGTGGGGAATGGTTCACCCATCCACCGGTATGCCAGTCCGTTCGTCCCGTATCCTTCCCTGAGCGTCAGCTGAACTCCCCGTTAAACCGGCAATTTCGCCCGCTGCGTCGCGCGATTCTGCTTCCAGCGATGAACTTATGAATTTCTTTCCGACTCTATCAGTGAGGATAGCTCTCGGTCAATATCCATATACCTCATGATGGCATGCCCTCTGTCAGTTCCGCTAACGGTGCTAAAACTGACCAAGTCAGCCCTACCCGTAGTAATGGAACCTGGAGGATCTCCACTTGGCATGTGAATGCAAAGCACGTCGACTGGCAACATACAGTGTAGATTGCGACGCGGCTGATTTGCCAAGTCGTTATCACGAATTGATCCCAGGTTTACGGCTGATAACCACATTTTTGCCAGAAAAAACAGAAGATTCGGACATTACGATTGGTGTATATCTATATATATATATATATATTGCTCTGCTATCGTCACTTGGTCTACCCCCTTCAGAAGGTTGGATCGTCATGGACTCTGCCACTATATAAAAAAAAGATCCCTTAAACAGAGACGGACAAGTAAGTATGTTGATACGCGCGCGCTATGAGGGCGGCGCGCGCACTCTTCTCACATAGTCACCACCCAAACACACCTACGGAACACGCGATGACTAATGGCAGTGTTCAATGCCGCCGGCGGCGGAGGGCGACGGCAGGGACGGAGCCATATTGACTGAGAAGGAAGTGAAGCTAAAGACGCGCGTCAATTCAGGTTTGCAACTCTGTTGGAGGAGATAGATCAGAAAGAAGTTGCGGGCAATAATATGTGGAAAGAGAAAGAATACATCAGACAGGGCACTGAACTGAAACAGGGCTTCAACTCAACCTTTGCCCTACTGCACTGCTGCGCTGTCGCGGTCGCGGGGCTTGCCGCAGGCAGCTGGATACCACTGGAAAGCGTGCGAGCAAGTACGAACGAGTATCATTAAGTATGGAATACACGTGCAACAGTTACTGTGAATGAATATGAGTGCGTGTGACGAACGGAACCTCTTCACAAGTAAGTGGTTCTCGTTGCCACACTTACTTTCAAGTGATTCTCATAAACCAAGGCGCGCCATTCCAGCCTTCCTTCGGACAGCCCCCATCACATGTTGCGTCGCTCGATTCACCAGACTTCTTTTCGGCCACGCGTCGCTTGGATTGGACGTCCCGCAGCAAGCGGGCTCGAGACGCGCGCTTCGCCTGCAAAAGGAGTTCGTGTGATGAACAGCAAGGAGAGGAAGGAGGAGGGGAGACGGAAAGGAAGCATTGAGGCTGAGGCAGTATGGGGGAAACGTTAAGAAATCTCATCGTTGAACCCACCCCGAAGAGGACCTTGAGACAAGATCCGAGACTTTAACTTGCTCATTACCTGTTTGAGCGCCTCTTGGCATCCAGGCAATCAGGCAAAAAAACAGCCCGGAAGAGCCCGAAAGTCTCGATTACGGCCCCAACTATCGACACGGAACAAGCTCCGCAGTGCGAAGACGGAGCGGCAGGAAGTAAGATTGGGGGAGTCCTCTCATGAGACCCTCGGAGCCAAGACGGCCACTGAGGGTGTCGAAAAAGCCGCGGAGGCAATGGCGGCAGTGGAACGACGGGGTTATACCACCATGTGCTTCATTCATAATTTTCCCCCCGCGACACAAACACCCTTGGAAAGCTCTCGGTGGGGCGCAGTCGATGGGGAACGTATCGGGGCATCACGATATTCAATCAGATTACCAACATAAGAACCACCAGATATCGATAATGTGAGACTACTGATACCGCGCGTAAATGTTCCTGCGTTTCGTGCCCTCGCGGCACATGGCGCTCGATGTCCTCCCGGAGCGTGTCGGTGCCGCCAGAGCCTGGGCCGAGGAACGGTAGGAAAGCAAGGGGGCAGCGAGCGGCCCTTTGCCAGCCGCCAGCCGTACCCCCAGCGCGAATCCGGCTCCTCCTCTCCCCCCCCCCGCCCACCGCCCATGAGGAACATTTCGACACAAACCTGCGCGTTAACTGTTAACTGGTAGGGAGGAATGGGGACTCCACGGGCGGGGGCACCTCTGGTCCACCCTAAGCAAAAACACAACACGGTGCGCGAAGGGATCGAAGACACCTTCGCTCAATGGATGGAGGCGCGTTGGATGGAGGCGCCTCGAAGACACACCCTCTGAAGAAACATGCGGAAATACAGAAGTCTGGGCGAACAACAAGTGCAAAGAGAAGGTACGAAGAGCCGCCACTGATTTGAAATGCGACACGCCTTGCTATATATATATATATATATATATATATACACACACACGCACACACACACACACACACACACTTCTGGCGTCGCGGCCCTGCGCGCGGCGCCAGGGCGAAGAAGGCCGTAAATCAGCGAACGCGCGCGCGCGACCAGGAACGCCCGAATCCTCGGAGACGGCATGGCGTCCTGGAGCAGCCAGCAGCCACACGTCTTCCAGACATGGACGACGGGGGGACCGGTGCAAGGACGAGGCTACGGTGCGGTGGAAACGCCCATATGCCATCCGGGACTCCCTGGAAGGGCCAGAGAGCTGGGTGGCGCGGTCGCCAGCCGATCCGAGCGCCTTGTTGTGAGGGTCGGCGGGTCTGGGGGCGGGTGCTGCGGCGGGGCCCTGGGTGGCGGCGTGGGTGCTGGCTGAAGCCTCGCGGTCCGCCTCCCGCATGGCCGCAGCAGCGTGCGGCCCGCGAGAGATTTCGAGGTGTGCACTGGCATTCGCCGCCCGGGAGGAGCTGCGGGTTCGCTGAGCAAGGCGCGGGGCGGCGAGAGACTTGGAGAGGGACGCCGCGAAGGTGCTGGCGATGGTGCGGGCCGCCCAGGGCCTCGGGTAAGCAGGCCCCGTCGGGCACCATGCCAGGGAGTCACCTGAAGGAGGCGCGGACCAGGCCCGCGCCGCAAGGTCGGGCGAGGGCTGTGCACCACCCCCAGGGGCAGGGGGGCAGGCTCTGGATGGCCCGGCAGCCTCGGCTTCTTGGACGCGGGGGGCCCCGCGACCAGGCCGCACAGCCGAGGGGAGTGCGCGCAGGAAGCGTGGCGAGACGATCTCAGCGCCGCAAGTGTGAAGGACGCGCTGAACCTGCGAGGGCGTCAGGCACCAAGTCCGGCACAGCGGCGAATGCAGGCCACGTGAGATTGTGCGTCATGCCCTTCCAAGCCGAGCCCAGCTGAAACCAGCGGGGGGATCGTCGAAAAGCTCTGCGGGCCTGGACTTATCCACTCGTCGGGGGGGGGGGGCAGTCCTCGTCGAGCAAAAATTCGGCGCACGCCTGGCAGTACCAGACGCCAACGCCACCGCTGTATTAAAGCATGCGCTTGGCTGACGCAATGATCTTGCTGAACTCGGCGGAGGCCCAGAGGCCAGAGGGGTAGCCCCTGTCGTCCACTGTGCCGTAGCAGGAGCGGCATTCGTCCCACTGAAAGGCGGGGTTGTCTGGGTCGAAGCAGGTGTCGGTGATGTTAGAGGGGCTGGGGAGGGAGCCCGTCGGACGGTTCGCAGGTGGACAAACACACGCACACACACACACACACACACACACACACACACGTGCGCGCGCGAATGTGTGACCAATCAGAATCACATCGGCATAGCGGAATATCGCAGAGAGGATCTGTACACCCACAAGCTGGCAGCTGCGTATGGATCAGTATTGCTCGAGCCAGCGCCGAGCACACCTAGCAACTGGTGGCGAAAGAATTCGGTCATAGGGGCCGGCGTCAGTGAGAACGCGCTGCTGTCATTCGAAGAGATCCTGCGAGTGTGTAGCCTCAGCGATTCAGTAGCGATTCTCGAGCACACATGGGACAAGCAGGCTGCCCCAAAGAACCCGAATTCTCTCTGGCATTTCCCATTGGCACCGAAGACTGAATAGTCCACAACGCAGCTGCTCCCTTCCTCTCCGTCCCTTCCAGACGTGATCCACACGAAACGCGTAGAGAAGCAACTCTCTCTCTCTCTCAAACGCAGCGTCAAAGCGCAGCAATCATGTAGGACCAACTGCGAAGACAGAGGGATACCAACGGCACATCGCTAGTGCATCGACAGAAGTCGCCGTGAGGTGCAATATGAGGGAAGTATCGGCTCGAGGCCAGCGCAAAGGCCTGGACTCGACCGAAGCCTCATGTGTCTACGGGAATCCAAGAAGAAGCCGGCTGCTTGCCTTTGTCCGCCACCGTACCACCCCTGGCACGTTGAGGCATCGTGGAATGCCGACTGCTGTCTGGGAGGGGTTCTGTCATGATCTACGTGACCTCTCCCCCCGCCTTTCGACACGCTCAGCTGCGTGCATCGCCCCCCCCCCCCCTCTGGAGACTCCCTAGGCGGGCTGACGCCGTTCTGGGGCTCTCCGAGGTGTGCAAATGACAACAGGGCCGCTTAGATGGCCCAAGATGCCTTCAAGACGGCTCAAGACAGCACCAAGACATCCCAAAATGGTATCAAGACACCCAAGAAGCTCCCAAGACGGCCCATGAGGGCTTCAAGAGGACCCCCTGGAGTGCTGAATGAAGCCAAAATCATCGACTTCCCTGCATGGTCCCCCAGCAGTGTTTGCACGTAGGGCTCTTCCGTGTGTTACCTAACTTGGAAATTGGGGGTGAGACCGAAGTGAAACGCGAGGTGCCCCAACCAGAAAGTCGCTTCTTTCCGTGACGTGCGAGCTGGCGATGCGAAGCGAAGCTGCGCGAATTCCTGCGCACGTCAAGGACAAACGACTCTAAAATGAGTTGGAGCCCGTTGCTCACGAGTGCTCCCACGTTGCCCTGATAGACCAACACGTGTGCCAAACAATTGCCACGAAGGTTGTCCCGATGGGTGTCCTGATCGACGGTACCGATGGTTGTCCCGATGGTTGCCACGATGGATGTCCCGATAGTTGTCCCGATGGTGGTCCCGATGGATATCCCGATGGTTGTCCCGAGAGTTTTCCCGATGGTGGTCCCGATGGTGGTCCGGATGGTTGCCCCGATGGTTGCCCCGATCGTTGTCCCAAAGATTGTTCCGATGATTGTCCGGATGGTTATCCCGATGGTTGTCCCAATGGTTATCCCGATGGTTGTCGGGCTGGTTGTCCCGATGGTTGTCTCGATAATGGCCATGATGGTTGTCCCTATTTCTGTACCTATGGTTGTCCCAGTGCTGTCCCGCTGGTTGTCCCGATGGTTGTCCCGATTGACTATCGCAATGGTTGTCCCGATGCTTGTAATGATGGTTGTCTCGATGGTTGTCCCGATGGTTGCCCTGATGATTGTCCCAGGGTTGTCCCGACCACTGTCCCGATCGTTGTCCTAATAGCTGTCCCGATGGCTGTCCCGATGGTTGTCCCGTTTACTGTCCCGATGGCTGCCCGATGGGTGTCCCGATGGTTGTCCCGTTGGTTGTCCCGATGGTTGTTCCGATGGTCTTCCCTATGGTTATCCCGATCGTTGTGTCGATGGCTGTCCTGATGGTTGTCCCGAAGGTTTTCCAAATGGTTTCCCTGATGGTTGTTCCGATGGTTGTCCCGATGGTTGTCCCAATGGTTGTCCCGCTGATTGTTCCGTTGATTGTCCCGATGGTTGTCCCGATGATTGTCCCGATGGTTGCCCCGATGATTGTCCCGATGGTTGTTCCGAGGGGTATCCCGATGGTTGCCCTGATGGTTGTCTCGATGGTTGTCCCGAGGGTTATCCCAGTGGTTGTCCCGATGGTTGTCCCTATGGTTGTCCCGATCGTTGTTACGACGGATGGTCCGTTGGTTGCCTCGATGGTTATCCAGATGGTTGTCCCGATGGTTGTCCCGATGATTGTCCCGATGGTTGTCCCGATGGTTGTTCCGAGGGTTATCCCGATGGTTGTCCCGATGGTTGCCCCGATGGTTGTCCCGATGGTTGCCCCGATGGTTGTCCCGATGGTTGTCCCACTGGTTGTCCCGATGACCCCAAGAGGCCCGGAGAAGCCCCCATGGCGCCCCCGAGGGGCCTTCAAGATACCCCCGAGAGGCCCCAAGAGAGGAGGAGGGAAGAACAGGAAGCGGAGAAGACGACGACGAACACGAAGAGAGACACCCCGCGCGAAGCGGAAGAGCATGCCACATGTTACAGCTCCCAAGCCTTGTGGACACGAGTTGCCATACGTTACGGCTTCACGCGCTGGCATCGAACAGTCGCAACCCTGAGTGCTGGGCTGGCACGGTTGCGGGAATCGCCACAGGCAGCTGGATAAAGCTCTCGCCCAACATGCTGTCGCTGGACCTGATGGCACCACAGAGGCTGGCAAGCAGTGACAATGAATTCAACCAAATAAAAGGGAATCAATAGGACACGCTTGAAGAGACGAATGATAACGAAGCAAGAACGAAAACAACGGAGAAGTGACGAAGCAGAAGGAAGGCTGATGGGGAATGGTGGAGCGTGACATGGGGAATCATAGGCATTGGCACTGCTGGAACATATAAAGAATTATCATGATGGGAAGAGGGTCGCAGCTGGACTAGTCGAGTTCACGCTGCATCAGTTTACGATTCACCGCTGCTGGATTGCACGAAATCAACTCGTTCTGCCTCCTGTACTGGCGCACCTTCGAAACGAATGGGGCGAGCCAAGGGCGTATCAGCATCAAGAATCAAATATCTCCCTGGACTCCTATCAGGCAATGTCCTGACTAGATTTCAAGACGCGTCTAGCACTGGCGACGAGGGAGCCCCGCGAGGTAAAAGAGTCGAGAGTCCGTGCGAGAGGGGATTGCAGGCTGCGGAGGTCCTCAACGGAGCGAAGCTGTTAGGCGGGATCGGGGCCCTAATTACCACGCGAGGGCGGATAAGCATCGCAAGCGAATAGAAGCACCCGGAAGGCTTCCAGAAGGCCGCTGGGAGGCCCCTTGGAGGCTCCTGGGGGAGGGGGCTGCTCTGGTCGCCACGCGTGAGCGGCGCAAATGTGCAGCACCTGTGGTCAATCCGAATACGCCGAAGACCTCTGGGAGGCTCATGGGCAGGCAGCTCATGAGAGCTGAAGGGGGAAGCCTGGTCGCCTCAAGTTGGCGGCACCAGTGGGTAGTTCGATGAAGTTCCCGCCAAGCATTAGCGCCACAAGCGGACAGTTCAGTGGGCAGTCCTGTGAAGTTCTGCGATGTTCCTCGTGGCCTTGGGAAGTGTAGTGTATTCGCCACGCGTCGGAGGCGCAAGCGGGTTGTCCCCACGCAGTGCTACTGCACCAGACGCTCCTGGGAGTACTTTGGGAGGCTCCCGGGAAGCTCCTGAGATGCTCGTGGAAGGCGTTGGAATATTCTGGACGCTACTGGGCAGCCTAAGCCGAGCCATGAGAAGCTCCAGAAGGCTCTAGGAGGCTCCGGGAGACCTCTCTTGATGGCAGTGTCGCACCAAGACTTCGGCCTCCCGACGTTCCCCCGCGGGTTAAGCGATGAACCCTTGGCCGAGGCGAGCCCCAAGGGCAAACACAGCGCCCAGCCCGCAGTACGCACAGTGGCCCGTCAGCCTCTCTGCGCCAGGCTCCGAAACGTAGGCTTCGCGAGGTCAAATAATCCCACCATCCCTCTGGGCCTAGGTGGTTTACCGAAGCTTGTTTTCTCTCTTTCCATAACCCCTCCTTCCCCTGCTCGGGGAAGGGTTTATCACTGTCCCCTATTAACATTCACCCCCTCCCCCACCCGGCCGGCGGCCAACAGGGAACCATGCCAACCCCATGAGGGCCACCCCCCCTATGCCTGTCAAAAACAACACAAAACGCACTCTGCCTCCGCATTTGAAGCATGCGCGGCCAACCCGATGCGGCCGCCGCCCCCCCACCATTCTTGTCAAAAACCATACAACGTACTCTTTGGAGCAAAGCCTTGAGTCATTTTCGTGAGGCCCGCGAGCAGTTTGTTTGTTTTTGACAGGGACGGCGGGGTGTCAACATATTCCCTGCTGTGCGCACGGCTGCCATCCCTGCAAACCCGAAAAAATCTTCGCGGATAAGTCTGGATCATGCGCTCACCCCGCGATCACTTCAAGTGGTTGTTGACAGGGACGGCGGGGGTGGAGCTCCCCATGTGGCCATGAAACGTGTGAGGGGGGTGCCGAGATGGGTGAGGAAACGTTTGCGACCCCCCCCCGAGGCGGAGGAGAAACGGGAGGAGGAGAAGAGGAAGAGGAGAGGCGCGAGGCGCTGTGTCTTCAAAACGAACACCCAACACCACAGGAGTGTTGGAAACTAGCAGGCGTTCTTTTTTATTCAACCGTGGGTAATGATGGGGACAGACGATCAAGCGATGATTTAACCATCAGCAATGGGAGGAAGAGAAACACATCGCACATGCGGGACCATCTTCGACTCTGTTCCACATGTCCTCATCCCGTCTCGGAGCCGTTGTCGGCTTTTCTAGTGGCAACTAGAATGTGCGGGCGGTGAACGGGAAACGACTTGAATGGAGCAACCACGCACATTTCTGCGACCGGCCAGCAATCTGGTCCTACGTTTCATCCGCATCCCCTCCCCCCTCGCCGTACCCTCCCACGTCTACCATCCTCCCCCTCCCCCATCCCACGCCCACTCCTCCCCAGTCTTCTAAGGAACCCCCCCATCCTCCGGGTCACACCCAGGGGGCTGCATCATCCCTACTCCCAGGGAGTCCCTGGGCGGCCATGGCGCCTCCCTGAAGCTCGCCAAGGCTACCATGACGGCCCAGGAGGCACCCAAGACGGGCCAAGAGGGCCTCGGATCGCAGAACGATCGCTGGAACACGCCCAGAATGGCCTCACGATGGTCCAAGAGGGCTCCAAGACGCCCCAAGAGGCCTCCAAGAGGCCCCCAAAGAGTCCTCAAGAGGCAAAAATCATTGAGTTTCCTTGGTTGAAAAAATTTGGCGTTCTCGCCTGTTCGACTTTCCGACGCTCCAAGACGGCCCAAGAGACCCCCAAGACCACCCCAAGCTGGTCCGAGAAGCCTCCAAGAGGTCTCCAAGAGGGCCCCAAGACGGCCTAAGAGCGCCCCAAGACGGCCCAAGAGGCGCCCACGACGGCCCAAGAAGGCCCGAAGACGGCCCCAAAAGGGGCCCAAGAGGGAGCACGAACTGAACAGGCCAGAGGCCCCAAAGAGGCCCCAAGAGGCCCCTAGGAGGCCCCAAGAGGCCCCCAAGAGGACCCAAGAGGCCCCCAAGAGGCCCCCAAGAGGCCGACAAGATGCCCTCAAGAAGCCCCAAGAAGCCCCCAAAAGACCTTCAAGGGGCCCCAAGAGGCTCCAAAACGGACCTGAGAGGCCTCAGAACTGTCTCGGGGGCCTCCCACGGGATTCCAACGAATATCCAATAGGCTCCAGACCCACAACCCAGGCACGGTGGCTGGACTTGCCGTAAGCAGCTGGATACCTCCTCCTTGAACATCCTCGATCTTCCCCTCCTCAAACCTCAGTCCTGAATCCTTCTTCGCCCCCTGTCCTGGCCGTTTGCCCTTCCTCCTCCCCCCTCCCCCACCCTCCCCCCCCCCTCCCCCCCCCCTCCCCCCACCCTCCCCACCCTCCTCCTCGTCCTATTCCTCCTCATGTTCCTCCTCCACCTCCTCCTCCTCCTCCCATAGCCCGTCTCTCTCCTTCATCATCAACAATCCCTCGACCAATGCACCTCCTTTTCCTCATCCTCCACATCCTCCCCCTGCTCCCCCGATTCCTCCTCCTTCGCAACTTGAACTCGCTCTCACTTACAATTATTCCTCTCGTCATCCCGTCTTGTTCCTACTCATGATACGTGAGCAGGACAGCTCCGCATGTATGAGGGTTCTGTGATCGAGTTCACAAAACAAGTCGAGCGTGATCTGATGTGAGCCGACGTGTTGGCCGGCACCGGGCGCCTCATGGATGCCTTATGAAATCACGGGTGCCTTTGCCGCGACGCTGCACGAACAGAAAGTGAACCGGCAGGCGCGCAGTGAGAAACTTGGCGCATTCGCACAACGGGGCTTCCCAGCCGTGGGGCCTCGAGCATAACAGTCAGCAGTCTAGCGCGAGTGTGTACCACGACAAAGTGCCGAGCAATATAGAAGACGCCTCGCCCTTCGACCCGACCATGCGGAAGCTGGGCATCAGCCCAGATCTCGCGGCTCTGGTTGCGGTTATGATGTCGTCCCGACAGCTAAAATGAGCACCGCTTTGCTAGTCCTGCAGGGCTTGTTCGTTCCGCCATTCCTTGATACCGACGAGCTGAAATCCTTCCGATATTCCCGTCGGGCTTCCTGTGGAGGATCGGCTGATTGCTGCGCTAGCGCAGAGGCATCCATGTGCTGCCACAAGCACACAGCCAAGAGGTATGTGGTACTTTCTCCTGGCACGTTCTGCACCGCAATAAGTCACGGCCCATCGGGGGCCCTGCACGAGTGATGAGATGAGACGCCGTGCGCGGCCGCACGCTGCTGCAGCAATGACTAAGGTCGTGAGCCATGGGAAAAGGTCTTCGGGCGACCCTGCTTCAGTGCCCCCTGGTCGGGCCAAACTGGCAGATCTTGAGCAAAACTAGTCACGGGTTTCCTCCTCGTCCTCCACCCTCCTCCCTCCTGCCATCTAATTTCGTCCTCATCCCACCTCCTCCTCCCCCTCCTCCTCCTCCTCCTCCTCCTCCTCCTCCTCCTGCTCCTCCTCCTCCTCATCCTCCTCCTCCTCCTCCTCCTCCTCCTCCTCCTCCTCCTCCTCCCTCCTCCCCCTCCTCCCTCCTCCTCCTCCTCCCTCCTCCTCCTCCTCCTCCTCCTCCTCCTCCTCCTCCCCCTCCTCCTCCCTCCTCCTCTTTCTCCTCCTCCTTCTCCTCCGCCTCCTCCTCCTCCTCCTCGCGGCCTGGCGCCAGAAGCCCTGGTCCATGTTCGAGCGGACAGCGTTCGCGCGGAATGCTGCCATGTCTGAGCCTCGGGAGCGGCGTGGGTTTCGCACGGGACCACCATGCCCGGCCATGGCTCGGAAGGCCTCAACCACGTCCCGCTGGCCTCGCGACATCTCCTGGACAGGACGACCAGACAGGGCTCCAAAAATGCCATCGAGAGGCCAATCATGCGGCCAAATGGACCCAAGAAACAAACATCGCAACGCTACCACCGAGTCACGCTATGGCGTTCTGCGCAATTTCCTCAAGCGTGATGGTGGACATGCGCGGCAGCAGAATTGCCCGTCCGACAGCGAAACTCTTTAGCGGCCTTTCTGCATGTCAAGTGCGGTTGTCTACCTGCAGAGCACGGCTGTGTTTGCTAGCGAGGACCCCAAGGCGTGATTGATCCCCTGTATCATAAGACGCCGCCGATTCCTTCACACCTTCCCCTCGTCCTCCTCCTCCTCCTCCTCCTCCTCCTCAGACTCCTCGTTCAGCTCATGCTCAGACTCACTCACACTTAGACACACTCAACTCAGTCATTCACACTCATACTTACTCGCATTCAAACTCGCTAACACTCAGACCCACTCACAATCAGGCTCACTCATACTCAGACTCATCCATACTCAGACTCAATCATGCTCTGACTTAATCACACTCAGACTCATTCACACTCATACTCACCCACATTCAGACTCAATCACAAGTATATTAACTCGTACTCACACACAAACGCTCAAACTCAGACCCACTAACCCTCATACTCATGCTCACTCATACTCAGAACCTATCCCACTCAGACCCGCAGAGTGCGAGGTTGTCTCAGGCAAGCTGGTGGTTTCAGCACTCCCAAGGGGGAGCCTCCAGGGGGGTTGCACAGGCCCGTTCGCGCCCAGATTGTGGGGATGTCTCGAGCGATTTGCGTTTTGCCGGCGCCCAGACTCAAAGGGGAACCGCCAGGGGGTTTGCACGGGCACGTTCGCGCCCAGATCTCGGAGGTGTCTCAAGCGGTGTGCCTGGCTCGCTGCCCAGACTCGTCTGCTTTCAGATCAGATTGTGAAGACGTCTCAAGCAAAGCGCTGGTTTCAGCACTCCCAACGAAGGGGGGGGCGCCAGCGTGTTTGCACACGCCCGTCGATGGAAGGAGAGGGACGGCCGTCAGGGAGGAGGAGGGAAGACGGAGAAGGACGCGAGAGAAAGGAGAAGGGAGGAAGGAGGAAGAGAAGTGAGGGGCTACGACGAGGAGGAAAAGGAAGAACGGGGGAGAAGGCCGCGGAAGGAGGACAACACTTAACACGCAGGAGAAAGGGGGAGTGGAGACGCAAGAATAAGGAGGACGAGGAGAAGGAGGAAGGGAGATCACGCAGGAGACCAGAGAAGGACGACCCCCCACCTGGCCCCGACCGATATCCCCCACCTGGCCCCGACACCCCCACCCACAAAATCTCTGTTCTTGGGACCCCCCAACCCAAGATTTCAACCAAAGCCGACCGATGCCCCCCACCTGGCCCCGACAGATACTCTCCACCTGGCCCCGACACCCCCACCTACAGAACCTCCCCCCACCTGGCCCCGACCGATACCCCCAACCTGGCCCCGACACCCCCACCCACAGAACCTCTGTTCTTGGGACCCCCCCACACGATTTTTCATCCAAAACCAACCGATACCCCTACCTGGCCCCGACTGATACCCCCACCTGGCCCCGACACCCCCGCCCACAGAACCTTTGTTCTTGGGACATCCCAAAACCAATCGATACCACCCACCTGGCCCCCACCCCACGACTTCTCGCCGAAAACCAACCGACCGATCCCCCACCTGGCCCCGACCGCTACCCCCCACCTGGCCCCGACACCCGCACCTACAGAGCCTCTGTTCTTGGGACCCCCCACCCCGATACCCCCCACCTGACCCCCGACCGATACCCCCAACCTGGCCCCGCACCCCCACCCACATAACCTCTGCTCTTGGGACTCCCCGCCTCACGACTTCTCGCCCAAAACCGACCGATACCACCCACCTGGCCCCGACCGATATCCCCCACCTGGCCCCTACACCTCCACCCACAGTACCCTTGTTTTTGGGACCCCCTACCCCACGATTTCTCTCCCCAACCCGACCGATACCCCCCACCTCCGACGAAATGCCACACAGCATCTAAGGCAAGGAAAATCCGCCCACCCCTTTGGGTGACTGGCGTGTGAAGTCATCTCCTCCCAAAATCCCCTCGGCAGAGGACAAGGAACTCGCCTCCTGCAATGAACAGTTACCCTCACCCGTTAGACAAGTGGCCCCGATTGACATATTTCCCGCTGGCAACAAGATGGGTTCCAGTCTCCCCGAATGTTCATCTGAGAAGTGGACCAAATTGTCGAATGGGTCATCGGCGGCAGCATCGACAGGACATCTAAATGAGCCCAGAAAAAGGGGAGATCTCGGGCGAAATTGGTTGAACCACCTCAGGTCTGAGCATCCCCGAAACACAATCCCGACGACGTCTCAAGCGACAATGAACCCAGACCACGTGAGGTGAGGACATAAATACATGAACCCGGAATTGCAACAGCGAGGAAACGGGATGGGATACCGTGAGGCAAGAGCATCAACTAACCCAGAATAACGAGGATGTATCGGGCGAATATGGCTGCACGACCTCAGGCCAGGTCATATCCCAGCCCAGAGTTGTGACGAAGAGTGAACCGAAACTGGCTGGACCATCTCAGGTCAAGGCATCCATGGGCCCTAAATTGCGAGAGTGTGTAGGGGGAAGCTGGATGGACCTCTCGCGTGCCTCGAAGCCCACAACTGCGAGGATGTCTCAAGCCTAAAGGGCTGGACCGCCTCAGGACAACGGCGAGGCTGTCGAAGCGAAATGGGCTGGACTATCTCTCGCGCGGCATCTCAAATCAAAACCCGCACTTGCAGGGATGTCTCAGGCGAGCTCGGCCGGACCGCCTCACAGGCGGCATCTCGGGGCCCAAAATTACGAAGATGGCTTCGCCGAAACCGACCCGGACAGCTTCTCGCATGGGGTCTCCGAGCTCAAAAACCCACCCGCCTTATGGGCAGGAGATGGTCAATCACGATTCCTTGTCCAACCGCATTGTTCCCCTTCGGAGATGGGGTCATCGCTGCTCCTGGATAACATATGCCACCTCGATCGAATGATCATGGTTATGTAGATCCGCCACCGTGCCTCTGGGCACGGAGTGGGCGTGCCCTCATGTCTTTGCCATGATCCTCTAAACCTCAGTCCTCACTTCTGAGGAGTCGTTCAGAGCCCCAGGCCCCACATAGCGAAATCTTATCCTGGGGCTATTCGCGGTTGCTCGCGTGACTGTTTCGGAGCGATGGGGGCCCCATGACAGACCAATGGGGCACAAAGAGGCCCACGACGGCCCCATAACGCCCCGAGAGGCCCAAAGATCGCTCCAAGGCGCCCTACATGGCCTCAAGGTGGCCCAAGAGGCCTCCAAGATGCACCAAGAGGCCTCGAATATACATTCCAAGAAGATCCTGAGAGGGACAAATCATTGATTTGCCTTAGTTGTTTGAGGAAGTTTGGCGCTCTCGCCTTCTTTCCTTTCCCAGACGGCCCTTGGGGCCCCCAATGACACCCCAGGACGGCCCAAGGACCTCCAAGAGGGCCCCAAGACGGCCCTCGAGCGCCCCAAGACGGCCCAGGAGGCGCCCAAGACGGCCAAAAAGGGCCCCAAGACGGCCCCAAAAGTGGCCCAAGAGAGGGAGCACGAACCGAAAATCCGAGCGTTCCGCCCCAAGAGACCCCCAGGAGGCCCCCAGAGGCACCAAAGAGGCCCCAACAGGCTCCAAGAGGCCCCCAAGGGACCCAACAGCGACCCCAAGAGGCTTCCAAACTGCCCCCACGAGGCCTGGAAACTGCATCCAAGAGGCCTCCTAAATGTCCCCTACGAAATCCCAACGAACCTTCAATAGTCTTCATACCCACAACGCAGGCACGGTGGCGGGATGGGCCGAAGGCCATTCGTTATAGAGGAGTCCGAGGTGCAACAGAAAATCAAGAGTCCAGGGGGCGAGGCTCAGGCCTGGACGTCTCACTTGAACTCCGTCCCGCCGTGCCGAGAAAGGCACCCCGACAACAAACGAATTATAAATACGTCGCTCAGCTGGGGTCGGCGGCACAGGCGACAGCCTTTACATGAAAATGGGTTGCACATACCACCAACCCAGGCACGGTGGCGGGACTTGCCGCAGGCAGCTGGATACGACACCTTCGCGCACGAGGCGACGCCCTCATAAAATCCCACCAGCCCTCTGGGCGTAGGTGGTTTAGGGAGTTTCCTCTTCCACCCCTCCTTCTTCCCCTTCGGGGAGGGGTTTATCCCTCCCCCTACCCCCTCCCCTGGACCTGGACAGGGGGTTCCGCGAGGTGTCGGAGCGTCCAAAACGGCCTGGGCCAAATTAAAGCTCCCCTCTTGTTTGATCGATCTCCTCCAAGATGGCCACAAGAAGCGCCCAGGAGGCCCCAAGAGGTCCCAAGATGGCCCCAAGATGGCCCCACGGGGTCCCCAAGAGGCCCCCCAGGAGGCCCCCAAGAGGATCCCAAGCGGCCCCAAGAGTTCCCCCCGAGGCACCCAAGACGCCGAAGAGCCCCCCACGACCGCCAAGAGGCCCCCAAGACGTTCCAAGACGCCCAAGAGATACCCCAAGAGGCTCCGAGAAGCATCCAAGAGACCTCTGGCCCTTTTGCTTGCTCTCCTCCTCCTCCTTCCTCCTCCTATCCCTTCTCATCCTCCTCCTCCCCCTCCGCCTCCTCCTCCTCCTCCTCCTCCTCCTCCTCATCCTGTTAATCCTCCTTCTCCCTACTCCCTCATCCATCCATCAAAATTTCTCCTTCGCCCCCTCTCTCCTTAAGACGGTTCGGCCGTCCCCCTCTTTGCTCCCGCACTTCCCTGATCACCTCTCAACTCGCCTGGACATCGTTTCTGGATGGGCTGGTGGGGATATCTTTTGGTCGCGGGCGGACGCGGATTCGCAGTCGCCGAGCTGACAGGTCCTGGCCACGGGCCTGTCGAATTAGCAACGCGCTAGCCTAAAAGCACAGCGGCCGAGCCCGCACTCAGAACCTACCGCCGGTGGGGCCGCAGGCTGAGCTGGCTGAGCTGACTGCAAGCGGCCAGGGTAGCTCATGCACCATGCGAGTGAATTGGCTCCAGCACGCCAGGAGAGGTCGTGACCTGTTCTGTACCAACAGACCACACGTCAGCCGAGCGGGGCGGTGCCACCAGACGGGCGAAACCGGTCAGGCGACGCGCAGCCAGGAGAACGGAGCCCGAGAGGTGCGAGAGCACACGAGCTCAAGTGGGTACCGCGGAGGAGGTCACACGGTACCAGATGGACCTTGTCGCAACAGAGCGCCAG